GGCCGCGCCCGCGCTCGCCGGTTGCGGCGACGGGGGGGTGCGGGGCGCGCGGGTGGGCGAGGGGCCAGGGGGTGTGGAGGAGGCCGGGGCGCGAGACTGCTCCCACGGAACCAGAACCAGGGGTTCCTCGGGTCTCCTCCCATGGGAACCAAGACACCATGTGGACTCTCATGGGGTCCAGGGGTGGCCGCGGGCCCCCTCCTAAGGGGACCACGCGTGGCAGTGGATCTGCTTCCATGGGGACTAGCACCAAGGGTGATTCCGTGTCCCATCCCACGGAGACCAGGGGAACCGCAGGTCTCCTCCCACAGGGACCACGGTTGGCCACAGGTCCCCCCCCCCCCACACACACACACACACGGACCAGCGGTGGTTGCCGGTTGCTCCTTCGGGTCCCCTTCCACAGGGGCCAGCACCGGGGTTGATATCCGCTTCCGTCCCGCAGGGACAGAGGCGGCCGTGGGTGGACTCCCACGGGGTCCAGGGCGGCCGGCGTCTGCTCCCATGGGTACCAGCACCGGGGATTTCTGGTATCTCTTGAAAAATGACAGATCTGTCAATATTAAGCCATCCTGCCGACAGCTGCCTGGAGCTAAGCAGCAGCTACCCCCTTTAGGTGTGTTAAAAGATAAACTGAGGCGTATTAAAATTGTTAAGTTCATTTGAGCAAAAACCTATTCCAATGGGCAGCACCAGAGCGGAAGTAGGAGCTCCGCACCGACAGCAGATGGGCTTGTTAGAGAGAAAGGTGAAGATGATTGCTTGGCGACGGCTTCAAGCCTAGTTGGCTGTGTGTGTGGCTGTGCTCAGGTTTCAATTCCGTCACCTTGAGGCATTTTCAGGCTTAGGTTTCGCTCTGCTTGCGAAGGCCATCGGGGTTAGAGCCACATCAGTCTGACGGCCTCCTTGTTAACTAATTGAACAGATGGGACCGAGCTTTCCAGTGCACCACAGGGGCTGCAGGCTCCCTTCAATTCCTGTGTGATCTCCATCGGTATTCCTGTGTTGAGAAGAAACTGAGGTTGATTTCCTGGCTCCACAGGCACCAGGGACCCAGGCTTCTCTCTTTCTGCTCCAGCTGCCTAGCGTTTGGTCTCTGTCTCAAGATGGCCTCAAGGCACCATACAGCTGCTGGAGCCTCACCTACCACATTCACGTTCCAGGCAACAGGAAGGAAGGGCAAAAATTGTGCACCCAAAATGGTGCATTTCATTTTAAGGGCTTCTGGAATTTCACACAGCCCTATGCCTTTATCTTATTGTGCACATGACCACATCTTCCATCCAAAGCAGCCGGGAAATGCAGTGTGTTAGCTGGGCACATTGCCACCCTGAGTAAAATGGTAGTTACTAAGAGATGACAGGTTCCAGGGATTAGGATGTGGATATACCCTTTTGGGGGCCACCACTCAACCCATGCAGAGGCTCATTTCACAGATAGCTGCACGTCTGTAGGCTCCCAATCGCCTCACCGGGGACTGTTTCCCATCTCCCCCATCCCCATGGTTCTTTGTCCCCTCACCTGGACGGTCCCATTTTTCTTTATAATTATGGAGCTGTCAGCCCTCCCCGGGGTCGTGAGCTCACTCTGGGCTCTACCCTCTGCTTGCCTGAGACAGTGTCGTGTGTACGGAAGGCACTTGGCAGATGTTTGCTGAATTAAATAAAATCACTGCGTGCTGTGATTTATTCCTGTGAGACTGCATTCCTGACTTTCTAATGGAAGTCAGTGCTACCATAGGATTTGCTAGGCTGAAACTCACTTTCATTCGATTTTTCTGGAATACACCTGTTCCATAAGGTAAGAGATTCTGATGTATCCTTTGGGGCCCGTTACTGTATCCATTCATTGCTTCAGCTTACCCACTTATAAAACGAGAGAAAGTATAAACACTATCAGAGTTAATTAGTCCATTTTGATGAAGTCTTTTATGATTCTCCCAAGTAGGTAATAGAGGGGAGTACAAAGACAAACGTGTTATTATGGATAATGTAGAAATAATTACTGGGGGGGCAGTAGAGCAGGAAAGGTTGTAGGCATCTCTTATGAGATTTCTCCAGATGTTTCTAGCATAAGGGGCTTAAAATATACATAAAGCACAACCGGTTCTTTCTTTGATCATAGTGTTTGCTCAGACTATACCTCTAGTTCCTAGCACCAGGGAAAATGAAACTTTATCATCTACCCTGTATAAAAATGATAGCAGTCTCAAGGGGAGCGCTGTGGGCATACTGACTTTGGAAATGGCTCTGTGATAAAAATCAACACATCTTTTTTCTTTTTCTGCTCTCATGGCATTAACAAGTGAGGCATTCTCCTTCTTTGTATCAGAGTTTTCAATCTTTGCACCATCATTCCTCCTTCCAGTACTGAGAACTAGGAATTCTGTGTGTGTGTGTGTGTGTGTGTGTGTGAGAGAAACAGAGAGAGAGACACAGAGAGACAGAGACAGAGACAAGAGAGGGAGAGATCCTCATAAAAAAGAAGATACACAGGGAACTGTGGTTCAAGTGCCTGGCTGTGTTTCCTTTCCTGGCTTTCATCAACACCGCTTGAAAGTGACCACATACAGAAAGAGCTGTTGGTCTGAAAGTAACCAGTTTCTTCTAGTGTTGCTTAATGAACATGAGGAAGTCAACCAGCACTAAGTGAATTCCCCTTAGAGCTTCCGGCAAGGAAGCAGGCCTGTGATTCCCACTGCTGTTCCAATGGCGGGGCATACCCGGTTTTTAACTTTGCAGCCAAGGATGCTCTTCCCAGAGAATCTCATCTCTGCCGAGTGAGACGGTGAGCCCAACAGCATTTGGTGCAGCTACAAGGCTGCACATTTCCAATAATGCAAGAGACACAGGCCCAATTCTGTGCACACTGGAGGTTTACTAAAGGGAAGAGGTCTTAACTGCTTCCAGTAACATCCTGTTGTCTGCAGAGGCCCACATTTATTCTTTTAAATTCTTAATTTATTTTTATTACATAAGCAATGTACATTTAACACATACAGATAAACAGAACAGAATTTAAAAATCACACAGTATCCCACTACCCTGAGATAACCAGTACTAATACTTTGGTTTCAAGGTTTTCCAGACTTTATAAATAAACATAATCACAGTAGTCACGTTTACTGGGAGCTCACTGTGTGCTTGGCAGTGTTCTGAGCACACTACAGTCTTCTTCCACCAATCTTCCCCTCAATGCTAGACAGTAGGGCCTGCTGTTCTCTCCACATCACAGGTGAAGAAACAGAGACACAAGGAGGATGACATCTCCCCAAGTCACACGGGCAGTGTGGACCCTTTACTATGTTTCTCTGCCTCTGCTATATGGACATAGGATTTTTGTTGTCGTTGACTTTTATTCTGTTTTGGTGTGTTTGTCATTTTTTTACAAAAAACAGGAACATTCTATACATGTACATATTTTTGTAATTTGCTCATTTTTACTTAATAATTGTGGTAAGCAAAATTCTAACATGGCCCCCAAGATTTCCTGCCTCCTGTTTTACGCCTTCTCCCAGTTATTCAATCAAACACTCATCTAGGTGAGGCTGCAAAGAGAATTTGCAGATGTGATTAAATTCCCAAATGAGCTGCCCTTAAGATAGGGAGACAATGCACAGCCAGTCTCACCCAATAATTATCCCTTTAAAGGGACTGAGCGTTTCTTGAGGTCGCGAAGATTCAAAGCATGAGAGGGATTTGACATCAGGGAGATAGATTCTCTATTACTGGCTTTCGGGATGAAGGGGGCAAGGTGGCATAAAATGCTGGCAGGTTCTAGAAGCTGAGAGCATCCCCCAGCTGACAGCCAGCAAGGAAACGTGCACCTCAATCCCCCACCTAAAGAACTAGACTCTGGGGGGCTGGCCTGGTGGCGCAGTGGGTAAGTTTGCGCACTCCACTTTGGCAGCCCGGAATTCACCAGTTCAGATCCTGGGCGGAGACCTACTCACCACTCATCAGCCCAGGCTGAGGTGGCGTCCCACACAGAAGCATTTCAACTCTACAACTATGATGTACAACTATGTACTTTGGGGCTTTGGGGAGAAAAAAGAAAAAGAGGATGAATGGCAACAGATGTTAGCACAGGGCCAATCTTCTTCTTCAAAAAAAAAAAGAACTAGGCTCTGTCAACCACATGAGCTGGAAAGAGCTCCAGATGAGATCTCAGCCCAGCACACAGCTTGATTTCAGCTGTGAGACCCCCAGCTGAGAACCCAGCCAGCCACACCCAGACTTCTGACCTACAGGACTGTGAGCTAATATATGCGTGTTGTCTGAAGCCACTAAAGTTGTGGTAACTTGTTACACAACAATAGAAAATAGAATAACACACCACAAATAGTTTTCCTCCTCTGAATCCTACTTCTACAATGTCATTTGATTAACTACATAGTATCTCCAGTGTATGCGTGCACTATAATTTATTTAATCAATGTCTTCTTATTGTACATCTTCGCTGTTTCAGAGCTTTTTGCTACTTTAAGCAACATTACAATGAATATTTTATAGCTAAGTCTCTGCACACATTCTTAAATTCCTAGAAGTGTAAGTGCACAAAGTGTAGGCGAATGTGATTTTCATACTAATGACTAATTGCCCTCCAGCAAAATCGCACCAATTTACCTTTCCATTGGTTACTTATGAGTGCACTCATTTCCCAAAACCTTGCCAACACTGGGTATTTTCAGTTCAAGTGACAAACATGTCTGTCCTTTTTGCATTTTAACATTATTGGTGTAATTTGACCTTTTTTCATGAAGGGCATTTGTGTTTTGTCTTTTCTCTGTGTCATACATGTGTATCTATTGCTTGTATTAGTTGGGACATTTTCAATTGCAAGTGACAGAAAGTCACATTTTCTTAATCAAAAAAAAATTTATAGGCTCACAACTGAAATGTCCAGGAAAAAAGCTACTTTAAGGCATTGTCAGAACCAAGACCTAGAAAATGTCTTTTTGAAACAAGGCCTTCCTCTCTTCATCTCTACTTTCTTCTGGGTTGCTTAATTCTTGGGTTTCACAAGATGGCCCCAACAACTCCAAGTGTATATAATTACAAATCCAACTGCAAGAGGAATCAGTTTTTTCCTGGTCACCAGAATGTCATAGGAGTAGCTGTGACTGGATCAACTTGGGTCACATGTCCATGTTTGAGCCAATCACTGCAGCCCAATAGATGGACTACTGCTGACTGGATAGGCTTAGGTCACATGACCACTCCTGGTTTAGGGGACCACCAAGTCCTACCTCAACCACAGGGAGCACTGATGAACCAAGATAATCAAGGTGCTGTCACCAGAGGAGGGACAGATGCTGAGGAGGACCACAGGACAGCCACCCTCTACATTGCCTGGACATTCACTTTGTCAGTTTTATATATTGGATGTTTATCCAATAAATTCATGAGATTCCTAAGAACTCTTTATAAAATAATGACATTAACTTCGTCGTATGTATCGCAAATATTTTTTCAGTTTGCTGTTCACTGCAATTATTCTTTTTTAT